CTACCATTATCATCACCACCACCACCACCACCATTACATCATCACCACCACCACCACCACCACCATCATTACATCACCACCACCACCACTACCATTATCATCATCACCACCACCACCACCATCATTACATCATCACCACCACCACCACCATTATCATCATCACCACCACTACCACCATTACATCATCACCACCACTACCACCATTATCATCATCACCACCACTACCACCATTACATCATCACCACCATTACCACCATTATCATCATCACCACCACCACCACCATTACATCATTACCACCATTACCACCATTATCATCATCACCACCACCGCCATTATTATCACCACTACCACCATATTTTACTGGCTGCCTATGATGTGCCAGGCACTTTACATATATAATCCCTAGAACCTTATCAAATGGGTAGTGTCATCATCATTTCACAGATGAGGAAATAGAACTTTACAGAGGCTAAGTAACTTCTGTAAGATCACACAAGAATGTAGAGGAGAAATTTGACCCAATGTCAGTCTGAGCCCAAGGTAAATGTGTGCTTTTAACCACTCTGCTAAATAACCTCCTTTAAGTAAAAAACTGCAGGTTTTCTCTTATCCATCAGATTTTTGTGTGTTAAAAACCTAAAAAACTTTTATTCAAGCCCACTCTCACTTACATCTTCTTAGATAGTACTTTTTAGAAAGGTCAAAACTCTAGGGGTTGCTGTATGGGCTCTTTATCCGTGATTTACCAGAATAGCTGGTTGAGGAAAAAGTGAGTGGAAGATTGGAATAGAATGGAATGTTGTTTTAAAAAGAAATATTCTGACAGTGGCAAGCACAGATCCTTGTGGCAAGTCAGGCTAGACCTTCTCTTCCCTATTCTAGAAAATGGCTTTACATGATTCTCCTGTACCACAAATAGTAATATCTCCAAGTATTTAGCTATAGTTTGTTTTTCCTCCACTTCAATCCCCTACCAGTTCGATGTTCTTTACATTTAAAGTACTTAAAATCTGTATTCCATGTAATAGAATCTGTCAATAACAATGATTGACAACTTTCCTTAAATGCTGATGATCACAATTTTGAGCAGAGTTGAAAGCACATTTGTCATGGGTAGCCTCCATTTTGTTTCACTTATTATACTTTTGGGGGGCTTAAAGGCAGTAACTAGAAGGTGTTAGAGGAGCTCCATGGCTATTATCTTGTATACGACCTGCATTGTGCATTTATGTTAACTGCACACCCTTCCAGGCATTTGGGTTTATGAATTCTAATTTAAAGACTCTAATACCCCATGATATCCAGCTACCAAATAAGGGTGTAAGCCATCTGCCTACTGACATATAAGTGCTAAATAAATATTAGTTTAATTAAAATAACTAATTAATGTGTTCTTATATACACCTAATTTCCGTGTAAATTATTTTGCTTTCACATGTACTAAATCCTGTTTCTTTTCCCTAATTTTTTTTCCTACTCTGATAAATTTAACCCACTAGATTTTGAACTTAGTACTTTTGAATTTTATCATGTGACCCTGTCCCAGCTACTGGCTTCAGTCAGGCTTCTAGATCTTGTGTAATTCTAGTGAGAAATTTTAATAAATACCTTATGCATAAATTCCTGAACATTTCTAAGACGTGAAGACTGGTAACGGTTTGATTGAAGAAATTGTGGAAAGAAGGAGTATTTGGCATCATTCCTGCTGTTTTGCGAGTCCCCAGGACCACCCATATGTTTGACAATTCACTAAAAGGACTCATAGGACTCAACGCATAGTAGTCCTCACGGCTAAGATTGGTCACAGTAACACTCCGTCTAAGCCTGGGTGCTGACACACTGAGAGTGCTCCTTTCTCCAGCTACAAAAATGCAACGCGTGTATAATGTTGCGTCCCAGGGAAGCCTGTTAGAGACAGATTTCTATTGAGAGCTGGTCACATAGGCACCTTCTGCCTAGTAACTACCAAAATACCAGACTTCTAGAAGGAAAGCAGATGTCCATCATAAGCTGCATTGTTTATACAGTCTAGGCACACTAAAGTACTCAGGCAACTTTTCCTATCAGTGTAGGGAATTTTTTAGAAACTGAGTTCCCAGATACAAACCAAAGGCCAATTTGGGTAGCAGATTCTTCTAAATATAGCAGCTTCAGCCCTGCTGTGTTAACTCTTTTCTGCAAACTTACTTCCTAGAATCCATTATGATAAGGCCAGAAATAAAAAGTTTAGAAAGAAGAAAAGATTTCAAAAACAGTCCTCTACTCTGTACTACTTCTTCATAAGGATGCTGGTCAATTTCCCAGTTTTGCAGGGAATTCTTGCAAAGTTGAAAAGGGACTGCCAACCAGCCAGACTCAAATTCTGACTTGTAATATTGTTTTCATCAGAAATTAGCAAAACCCACTAATTGTAATAAAATTTACCTCATCCCTATTTCCATCTTACTTTCTTTTTTCTTTTTTTTTTTTTTTTGCTTTTTGCTGAGTAAGATTTGCCCTGAGCTAACATCTGTTGCTAATTTTCCTCTTTTGTATGTCAGCCACCATGGACATGATAGATGAGTGGTCTAGGTCCCCGCCCAGGAACTGAGCCTGGGCCACCGAAGGGGAGCACACTGAACTTAACCACAAGGCTACAGGGTTGGCCCTATTATCATCTTATTAAGGACTTCTAATTAGAAAGTCTGATTCATCCAAGAGTTACCAACTCCACAAAATACAATCTCTCAGAAGAAAGATGGAGAGAAACAAGAGTCTTAGATATTACGTTGCCTAGATAAACTATAATTCAGTCTCTGAAAGTTAATTGTCAGATGGAGAGAAAAGAGAGAATAAAAGCTAAGGGACATCAACAGGATAATTTTTCCTCCAAAAGTAAAAATGTGGTGTATAGAGAAAGAGTTTCAGACTCCCATCAGAGAGCTCAAGAAAATTCCAAAAAGAAGAAATATCTGGGTTAGAAACTTTCCCCCAAGTAGGGGAAGCTAGATAAGATACAAAGAGGAAATGAAAGCAAAATGGGGCTTGATATTCAGGCACAAAAATGTATTTTTCATGTGAGAGGAAATTTATGGGATGATCTTTAAGTAAAATTGTGAGATAATGGATGTTTCTGTCATTTTCCCCATTTCACCACCGTTCAAAACACACACGTGGGTGTTTCCCAGGTGTTTCCTCTGCCAGCCGACAAATGCCGTTCCTCCCCTCTCTAATCAAAGGCCACTCTCAGGTCAAGATCTAATAGGTATTTTTACGTTCACTCAACAATTATTTTTTGAGCCACTACTTTATGCTGTTGTAATAGGAGTTCAGGGAATATCACTGAACAAAATAAATATCCCTGCCCTCATAAAACAGGGGGCAAGAGATCAAAGGAATAAAAATAATAAACAGGTAAAGGATATAGTATGTTAGGAAATATTGAGTGTTATGGGAGAAAATAGAGCAGGGTTAGGTGGTATAATGTGAGGGTGGGGTTGGGGACAGCATATTGCAACTTTAAACAGAGAGGTGAGGGCAGCCCCCATTATAAGAAGTTATACTTGAGCAAAGACTCAAGGAAGTGAGGGAGTTAGGCATGCAGATATCTGGAGGAAGACTGTTCCAGGCAGAGGGAACAGACGGAACAAAGGCCTAGAATGTTCAAGGACTGGTAAGGACGTAACTGGGGCTGGAGTAGAATGAGCAAGAGAAGGAGCAGGAGGAAGAGACTCAGCTCCTATAGGGCACGTGGGTCAAGCTAGAGATTGTGGCTCTTATCCTAAGTGAAATGGGAGCCACTGACAGAGGTTGAGCAGAGCAGTGATGTTTTCTGACTTAGATTTTATGAAGATCACCTTAACAGCTGTCTGCTAAGAGACCACAGGCCAATGTTGCAGCAGGGAAACCAGTTAGCCAGATACTGCAGATATACAGGCAAGATATGGAGGTGGCTCAAACCAAGACGGCGGCAGTGGAGGTGGTGAGAGGTGTCCAGATTCTGAATATATTTTGAAGGTGGAAATAACAGAATTTGAATTTGGGATATGAACGAGAAAGGGGACGGAAGATGGCTCCAAGGAGTTTGGCCTGAGCCACTGTGAGGATGATGTTTCCATCAACTGAAATGGGAGAGTCTGAAGGTGAGCAAGTTTGGGGGTGGGGAAGATCAGGAGGGCATGGCTATGTTAAGCTCGAGGTGTCTCTTAAACACGATGTTGAGGAGGCAATTGGGTATAAGAAGAGAAGAGTTTGGGAGAGAGTTCTGGTTTAAAAATACAAATGTGAGAGTCATAGGCATAAATTCCACACTTAAAGTCTTGCGACTGTTAAGATCACCATTAAGGAAACGAGTA